GGGCCGCAGCCGGTCCCGTCGTAGGGGTTTGTGTTGGTGTTGGTGTTGGTGGGTGGGGGGATGGATGTACTTTGTGCTGGGGGATCGTAGAATTGGGTCTTGGTGGCGATCATGCTTTGTGGTCGGTTCTCCTCGTGACTTCCCCTGCTTCTCAGACTTCCTGATCGGCTCCCTCGACTTCCCTCTTTGGAATTTAGACTCGCTAGCGAGAAGGCGGGAGAAGGTGGTTTTGGGATCGGATCGAGAGATTTGGGGACGATGTCTCCGTCCTCTTCGCTGTCGTAATCGTAAGAAGAAGAGCTCTCTTCATGACTTAGTTTCGTGGGCTTGGGCGAGATGGGGGGTGGGAGGTTGTCGTGGTACATGCTTGCGGGGCGTTCGCGACGGATTCCTGCTGGGGACGCGGCTTTGGGCGTGGTGTGCGCGCTGCGGAAGATGGACATGCTTGGTAGAAGGGGTGTTCCGTTGGAGGAAGACTCGAAGAGGGAGCGGGTTTTTTGGAAGATGGACATAGGGCGCTCTTTTGGGGCTGCGGGCGGGTCAACTGGGGCTTGTTGCGAGGTTGGACGTGAGGTTGGTCGTGAAGTTGGCCTTGAGGATTCGGGTGAGGGGTTGGAGTTCCCTCGACTGCGGGCGGAATCCATTGAGCCACGGGAGAAGTTCCTTGTTGATGGTGCTGGATCCATGGAGAATCGAGACATGGGTCGGTTATATGGGTAGATGGTGTTGCTGATTATTGGTGCGGTGCCGTCGAGGGACCCGATCTTGAAGTCTGAGAGGTTGTCCTGCTCGAACCGAGAGGCTGGTTGGAAGGGACTCTGCATGGGTTCCTCAACAGTGATTTGTCTGTTAAGAAGTCGGGGAGTTTCCGCTGTCATTGATGTCAGACTTGCCCTACGGGAATCGTATTGTGAAGGGTTGTATGGATCGAACTCGGCCTGTAGTGGTGTAGGCGAGGCTTGAGACTTGAGATCTGGTTCGGATTCCTGTGGATCGAGGCTTGGTCGATCGAGGCTTTGTCTATGAGGCCAGGATGACGAAATGAGTTGTTCGTTCCAGAGAGCTTCTTGCGCTGTGTTGGCGATTTCGTCGATTGGGGTTCCAGGAGGGGAATCCTCTTCGTCAGATCGGCCGGACATTTCAAATGAAGGGGCGGTATCAGCTGTATGACTTCTTTCTCTCACAAAGCTTTCCTCGCGCCGAACTTGGTTGTCCTGTTCATATCGCTCCTCGTCGGAACTATCCTCTTCGGCTATTGGGGCCTCAGAAGGTTGGAATGAAAACCCGGCATGTGCGGGATGTTGAAGGTCTTCCTCTGAGTCTTCAGGAATGGCATTGATTTGTCTGACGTGTTCGATTTCTGGTCGAATGGTTTCGGCCATACTTGCGTAGTAATGAGAGTTTGGTGACAGGACATTTGCTGGGGGGCCTTGAGACATGTCGAATTCGGGCTCTTGACTGTTGTGTGCAAATCCGTGCTCAGCACGAGTTGGGAATTCTTCATCTTGTGAATCATAGTTTTCCTCGTCATCATCCTCAAAGAGGCTGTCGGTGTCTTCAACAGTACGTGAGCCTAATTCAGGGTCCAGTGTTTGCCCCGCGTACTCAGAGGCGTGATGAGGGGATTCAAGAGACGCTTCTCGTGTTGGCGTTGACGTTTTTGAGTTTGACTCTTCGCTCTTATATTCTTCATGAATAGGAGGGGAAAGATTGTCTGTTGTTACAGGTAACTCGAAATCCTTCTTTGGCTCTTCATGTGAAACCTCATAAAGATTTCCATGTTCGTTCGAATTCTCGCTTAGGGCATGGACTGGTAAGGTACTACCCTGAGTCCCGAAATCATGAATATCACTATTTCCAGCTTCCCAGAACTCTTGATGACGTTCCTTTGACTTTGGCACTGCAGAAAGATCTAACAAAGAAGCTGCAGCGTCATGGGCTTCGCGAGAAGTATCTTCGCCGTTTTCTGACAAATGTTCATGTCCATCAGGTTCTTGGCCACGGCTTGTGGCAACCCACGAGGCCGTGTCTTCATGGTACTTGTTCGCTTCCTGGCCAATAGCACCCTCAAGGGCAAAAGGATCATCCACATCATCGGAGTCTGCTCCCGACTCGTCGTCCTCTTCGTTCTGGCTTTCGGCGTCTATGTCTTGGGGGTTCTCTAATAGAGTGTTGAAACGATCTTTTTCGAAACTTGGTGCCTCACTTCCTGAGATGGTCTCGTCGCTCTCAGAGACTGGCTCTGATGTCACTGGGAGAGCGGCGCGAACAATTGGGAATGCGACGGCTTGATCTGGGGTGTGGGTTTCTTTTTCCTTGGCTGCCTCAAGACTTTGGACGTCTTTGCTTGAGGCTGGGGTTGCGCTTTTCTCTTCGGTGGTCTTGCTTTCCTCGTGGGCATCTCCAGTCGGAACCTTTTCAGTGGATAGATCGAGGGCTTTGACTTGTGCCGGAGACTCCTCGTGCTCTGGAACCTCATCGTGATCCTTCGTGAAACTGTGCTTTTCAACTTCATCTACGTCCGATTCAGTATCGAGAGCCTTTGCGGAAATCTTTCGTGATTGTAGTGGGCTCTCAGATATCTCCTTTGCCATGCTGTTGCCTTGCGAGGCAGGATGTTCTTCGTGCGTCTCAATCTCCTTCCTTGATTCATCATGATAACTTGATTGTGAAGAAGTATCGTGATCTTTTGACACTTCCTTGGCTGAAACAATCTCGTCGCGGTCATCGCCCGATCGCATGCGATCATCTTTAATATCTTTGGAAGCAGCTTGATGTTCTGAAATTTGTGCTTGTTCAACTACGTTGTCGAGTCCGCTTGGCAATTTTACAGTATCAAGCTCTTTTGCTGTCTCTACTGATGGACTCTCGCCGATAGCTTTGCTATGTGTTGGTTCGCTGTGCTCCAAGTTTTCCGAGTGTGAAGGCTTTTCGAAATCATCATCCAGGTCTTTTGAGAATACCTCAGCGGAGTTCGTCTCACCAATGGCTTTACTGTGCACCGAAGCATCGTCTTTAATGATATCCAACTCCGCCTCACGATCAGCATGGAGATCCTTTGGAGCTGTCTCAGCAGATGAGGTCTCTTCGACAAATTTGCTATGCGCTGAGTGATGGTCTATTGTGTCTTTCAAGCTCTTGGGCTTTTCCTGGACTGACTCAAAGGCGCTTGGAAGTTCATCGATAGATGCATGATAGGTGACAATGTTGTTATGCGTTGGTTCATCGTGCTCGACACTATTCAGATCCAAGGACTTTTCTTGATGAACATCGAAATCTTTTGAATGGCCCTCTACGGATGCAAATTCATCAACTTCTCCACTGTGTGTTGATTGGTTGTCTTTGATGTCTTCCAAGTCCAAGGACTTCTCGTGGACATCGGCCTTGGCCGCCGTATGCTCGAGTTCAGTAGATTTTGTTGGGGTATCGAGGTCTTTTGCTACAAAGTCCGGAGATGGAATTTCCACATGAGACTCCTCTTCGACGGAAGGCTCCTCTGCTTGGTGGCTTGTCTCTTTCTTTTCCGCGGTGAAATCGGGCTTGAGCGGACTTGGAGTCTGCTCATTGTGGGATTCAACGTGAGCGAGCTCATTTTTGGCAGCAGATAAGTCAGATGACCCTTCTTTTGAAACCGATGTTTCCATCGACTTGGGAAGATCTTTTGGTTCCACGGTGGGAGCGATCTCGTGTGAGCTGGAAGTTTGCTCCTTGTGGGATTCAGTGTGAGAAGATACGCCGTGGGTAGCAGACAAATCAGATGAGTCCTCTTTGACGTTAGCGCTCTCCGTTTTGTTGTCTAGGTCTCTAGGTTCTAGTTCCTTATCAAAATGTTCTGCGAAGGATGCTTGGGTTTGGGGTTCTTCGTGAGATAGGTCGATGTCCTTAGTTTGCACGGGAGCTTCGTCGAGATCTTTTGGTTCGAACATGGCAGCTTTATCCTTCACAACTGGGTGGTCCACCTCAGCATTGTAGTGGCTAGCCGATCTTTTCTCGATATGTGTAGAAGGTAGAACGTGGCTCTCGGGATCAGTTGCAATGGGGGAGTTTGGCTGGTTGTAGGTAGCCTCATTGAAGTCTTTTGCGTGATGATCAATGCCCTCACTTTCAGACGAAACATCCAAATTTCTGGCTGTTGTTGGCTCTTCTGATTTCGTCACATCGTGTGCCACTTGATCGTCTTCCTTTTTGCCTGGAGTGTTATTCTCACGATCGGAATCTTCTTCCTCCGAAAGCCTGTCATTTTGAACGGGCAGCACTCGTTTTGTCGAGCCTCCCGACATCATGGAAAAGAAGTCTTTTTCTGACAGTGAACTGTCTTTCCTTCCACGATATCCCTGAGGAGAAGTTGCACTAGAGTATTCGTCATCTGACGAGTGTTGAGCGGAGCTCTCTCGGTCATATGCGGTATGGGTGGTAAACCTGGTTTGTACAGGAGTGTCAAGATCCGACTCTTCATAACGAGTAGACATGTTGTCGTCTGGAGTGATCACATTTTGGAAACGAGAAGTTGATTGGCCCGCAAGAGATGTATCGTACTCATGGTCTTGGTGTTGTTTGAGAGAATCATGATCATGTGAATCAAGGCCAGTATTCTCATGGACCCCATATCCCTGTGAAAGCTCATGAGATTTGTTGATTGATAAATCCTCTTCCGACTCTTCTACAATTTCACTCAAATCACGTGACGATTGATCTCCCTCGAAAAATTCGTTGGACGTATGGGATTTGGTGAGGACCAATGGCTCTTCTGGCTCTTCTGAAATAACCTCAGAAGGTGTTGATGCTTGTTCTTCAATGTCTTCAGCCTCCGACTGCTCCTTAGATTGCACTTCTCTGACCTCGATTACAGCTTCTGGTTGTGTGAATGCCGCTTGAGTTGGAGTGGCTTGTGGTGCAGCGGTGGTTTCGAAATAAGGCGCTCCCTGGTGACTTTCTTGGGCGTCAATGGTCGATACGTTGTCCATTTTGGATTCGCCCATCAGAGATTTTGTTGTCTCTTGCTTCTCCTCGGACTCATGATCCTTGAAAGAAGCTGGTTGTTCACGGCTTTCTTTGGTTTGCCCCTTGGCTGGCTCCTCTTGGTCTTCTTCCTCCGAGAAGTCAAAATGGTTTACTGGCTCGTGCTCGTTCACCGATCCTTCTTTCAAGTATTGGCTACCACGAGAATTTACGCCAGATCGTTCATGCTGAGGAGAGTTCTCAATGGTGGTCATGGCATTTCCAGCGCCAGAGAGTTCGCTTACTCTACTGTGATCAATAATGTCTTGCGACTCCTTTTGACTGGATTCTGACTCATCGAGATCTCTTGGTTGGAATTCATCTTCTGATGCTGAGTCAGAATCATTTCTATCGAGTTGGTGGGAGCTCTCGAGAGATGCCGGGGCCTCATCGAGGTTCTTTGGCTGGATCTCAATTTCTGTATTGTCGTGGCGGGATTGAGACATAGATACATCATCGAAGTTTCTCTCATGCATCTCTTCATAAGCTTTTTGGTGGATTTCTGGCTTTGAAGATTGGTGGCTGTTGGCATCCTCGTCCTCCCTTGACACTTGCTCAGTGAAATATAAAGCACTGCTCTCTGCATCCAAATCTCTTGAAGCAATATCAACTCCATGGTAGCCATGGTGTTCACGATCATCATGAGCGGTGGAATGGACTTGCGTTGGAAGCTCGTTGTTGTGTTTTGACTGTAGCTCTACTTCAGGATTGGAAGTGTTTGTTTCCAAATCATCGGTTGGCGGGTCTAGATCATTGCGTTTGGACTCGAATGTATGCTCATCATGCTTCTCATGGTCAGGTGACTTGTAGTGCATTGCAGATTTGTCCAGATCTGTTGGCTGAAAGTCAGGCTTCTCAATTAATTCGTTCGCTTCAAAAGCCCGGTCTTTGGCTCTAATGTTGTCTTGATGTTCTTCATGGTTTTCATGGACGGGTATGTGGACTCGTAGTGGCTGTTCATCAAGATCTTTTTGACAAGTCTCGAAAATGGTCTCCTCATGATCAGTCTCTGAACTCCTCTGTCCGGCATCTAGATTTCTGGGTGCGAAATCGATATCCTCATGGGCTGGAGATTCATCAAGGTTTCTTGGCTCTACTTCTTGTTGATGGCATGGTGAAGTGTCCAAGCCGTGACTCTTAGCCTGGCTTTCATGATCCTCCCTGTGGGCAGGTTCGTGTTCCTGGACACTATCAAGATATTTGGGCTGCAGGTGTGTTTCTTGCGCATCTCGATTGATGTGCTCGAGTTGTTGGGGAATATCATCGAGGTTTCTGGGTTCTATTTCAGCCTCTGGATGGGAGTATTCGTGCTCGGAACTCCTTCTCTCGCTTTCATGATGGTCTTTGTGTGTAGAGCGTTGCTCTTCGACATTGTCAAGATCCCTGAGCTGCATATCTACACCTGATTCAGATTCGTTGACGTTTCCAGAATGATATGAGATTCTATCAAGGTCTTTTGCCTCAACCTCTGTATTACTATGCTCTGAATGCAAACATCTGACATCCTGCTCGAGACTCTTTGACTGGCTTTCAATTTCGTGAGCCGATAAATACTCCTGGGTATTGTGCAAGTCTTTGGGCTGTCTTTCTCTAGTTGCTTCATGTTCATTGACGCCTTCGGAGTATGTAGAGGAGCCTTCTGGCTGTATGTCAAGGTCAGATTCATCGGGGTGAGATGGTCCAGTCTCCCGATCGAGGCTCTGTGGTTGGCTTTCATAAATTGAGCTTTCGTGACCAGAAGTCTCTTCTGGAAGTTTATGCAGATCCTTAGGGTGGATTTCTTGATCCTGATCATTCTGGGTTGCAGAGTGTGTCGAGACTTCGTCAACGTTGCGAGATTGGATCTCCTGGTGCTCTTCATCTTCCAGTATTCTTGCCCCATCCTGTTCAGGCTGAATTTCATGATGTCTTTCATGGGCAGGGACATTTTCTTGGAGGGTCTCCAAGTCCTTTGGCTGGTGTATCTCGAGCTCTGCCTCATTTCGATTTTTGTTGTGAGAATCCAGATCAAGATTACGAGGTTGGATATCGAAATCATCCTCATCGTGCTTGGGAGTGTTTGTTCCATCCTTTGTGGATTGACTTGCATGATGTTCTTCATGGGCAGGAATCTGCTCCTGGAAACTGTCAAGATCCCTAGTGTGTAGTTCCGGCTCCCTCTGTTCTTCACTTGCGCTGTGCGAGTGTGATGAGGCGAGATCCAGATTGCGAGGTTGGATTTCAAAGTCTTCCTCCTCATGCCGCGAAGTCTTGTCATCATCGTGATGTGGGACCCTGGAAGATTCAGGCGAAGCATCAAGATTCTTGATTTCAATCTCATCATCGAGGTTGCGGGCATCAATGTTTGAATCATGTTCTTTGTCATGAGAATTCTTTTCTTCCTTTTGATGGGAGATGTGGGCTATTTCAGGCTTAGGGTGAGCATCCAGATTCTTGATCTCAATGTCGGCTTCTGAGTCCTCCTTAGATTGCTCCTCTTCATCATGATGAGATTGACCAATTGGTTCATGGAGATTGTCATAGTTAGCTTCATGGAGTTCCCAATCTGGCTTTTTGTCATCCGATACTTTTTCGTCATTCTGATGCAAGTTCTCAGCGCGTGCTGGGAGAGAGTCAAGATCTTTGATTTCAATCTCTGTATCCGACTCATTGAGCTCTTTCTGGTGAGACCTCTCGGTAAACTCTGGCAAAACATCGAGATTCTTGATTTCGGTCTCCTGTTCATCCTTGTGTGCCTCCAATGCAGGGTGATGAGAGTTCTCAAGAGGGCTACGAGGCTCATCAAGGTTCTTGATTTGAATCTCGCTATCGAACCCTTCGTCCTTGGAACCCTCTCTTTGTTCGGAACGAGCATCAAGATCTTTGACTTGGATCTCAGGTTCAGAATCCTCGTCTTTGAGGTCCCCTCCATGATGAGAGTCATGAGCAACATCATGCGAAACATCAAGGCTCTTGCCTTTGAACTCAAATTCCACTTTGTCATTCGGAATCTCCACGCTGTTCTTAGAATCGCTCTTTTCTTGGTGATGCGAGCTTTCGATAGATTCTGCTGGAGCATCAAGGTTCTTGATCTCCATGTGAGAGTCCAGATCATCCTTCTTGAATTCGCCCTCTTGCACGGGCATAGAATCAAGGTTCTTAACATGAATCTCAGCTTCGTCTTCGTCCTTGGATCCTTGCTTTTCGTGATGAGAAGAGGTTGCAACAGGTGTAGGCTCAGACACAGCATCGAGATTCTTACTCTTGATCTCATCCTCAAAATGAGCATCGCGAGATGCTGGCTGCTCGTTGTCCCCTTCCAAAACTCCACTAAATGCTTCTACCATTTGAGCATGGGGTGTGTTTTCATGGGGGGTGTTGACTGAAACTTCCTTGTTGACAGGTGACTCGTCTAGGTTTCTTGGCATCCAATCAGCTGGCAGCTCTTCATCTTCGACATCATCCAGCTTTCGTTCTGTGGGAATTTGTTCTTCAAAGTCAAGAGATTTTGAAGTCACGTGCTCGTTTTCCTCGCTGTTGGAACGTTTGGGTTCTTCGGTATCTAGGGGCTTGATGCTGGTTGATTGCTCATCTTGGGAACCAGTTTCTTGGTGACTTCCCGAATTGGCCGAGTTCTTTTCCTGGGTTTGGGACTCTCTTGAATGCTCCTCGTGTACTGAAGCTGCTTCATTGAGTTCATGATGCGTAGAATCATTTTGTTCCGTTACTTGGCTGGAAGGTTCTGGTACTGTCTCGAAATTGCTGTTTGTTTTGGTTTCCATTTGCGGGATTCTTTCCTCGATTGACTTTGCTGAAATGTTTTTGTCGTTGGTTGAAGAGTGTTCAATGTCGTTGAGTGTTGTAGCAGAAACATGATTTGCATCAGAATCGCGAGCATCTGTAATTGGGGAATCAGACCCCATAATCTTGTCATTTTTAGTGATGTCGTGTGATGATTCCTTGTCGAAAGAATCATTTAGATGCGATGTTGTAGTGATCGAAGGTGCACCATGCTGAGCCAGCGATTCATCATCACCTGCTGTATCCTCATGTTGTTTCTCGCTTGCGGTCTCAAACCCACCTTTGTCTAGAGCCTTTCTGGAAAATCCAAAGTTCTCTGCGTGTGGAGTATCGTGGTGCGTTGTATCCAAGCTCGTAGCCTTTTGCTCATGGTGCTCCTCACTCTGAAGTCCTTCGACGTAACGGATTTCCGGCTGTGATCTTCTCGCTTCATGGTGCTCTGGTTTTTCTGCCTCGTTGATGTTCTTCCCATGAATCGGCGAAGACAATCTCTTTGCTGCCATGTGCATCTCGGGCGCGTCATCTCGAGAAACCTCGTCTCGGTCAACCAAATTACTTATTGCATTATCTTTCTCAACATGATGTAGTGTTGCTTCCTTTTGCTCAATCTCTTTTTCTGAACCAGCGTGTGTTTCCTCATCGGATTTCTCTCTCGGCAAAGAAACGTCTCTCTTGGCTTTCTCGGGTACCTCCTTTTCCAAGTCATGCCCTGTGCTCACTTTGTCATCTCCAGCATCGATGCCCTTGTCCCCGGTTGGTGCTTCGATTTCTTTGGACGCAACTTCTACCTCGGGTTCTGCCACAGAAGAAGAAAAATCGTCATCCTTCACAGGTCGGGCTGTTGGGGCATTTTCAGCATTATTTTGCACCTTGGGTGCCGCCGCACTCACTTGTGCACTGTCCATTTTTCTGTTGTTGGTGCCATTCTCATTTTTGTCAGTCCCATTAGAAATACTCAGTGACCTTGCAGAATATCCATCACCGTTCGGACGAGCCCCGTTTGTTGACATACTCCCCCGATGCGCAAAGTTCGCAGTGACAGGAGAGGCTCGCGGAGAACCACGCGTTTTGGCCCTGCTTCGGTATGTGATGACTGGGAGAACAGTAGGTTTATTAAGTGCTAATTCAATTTGTGCGTTGATGGCCTTTTGATTTGTTAGTACTATCTCCATGGGAACAAACTGCGATATACGAACCCTTCTCTTCTCATCCAACTCCACTAATTTCTTCTTGCCCTCCTCCACTCGCCTTTCCATCTCATCCTCCATCAGCTCCATTTGCGCTTCAGCTTCTTGATGCAATTTCAGCTGGGTCTGCTCCAAGTCGGCCCTCATATTATCATCGATGTCCCTCTTCAACTGTAATCGGTGTTCTTCGTCGGCTTGAATTCTCGCCCTACGCTCTTCGTCTTCCCGTCTTCGTCTCTCCATCAATTCCTCCTCTTCCCTCTTGATTCTCTCCTCAATTTCAACGCGTTCCTTCTCTCGTTGCGCCTCTAGTTCTTTGGCGGTTTCCTCATGCTTCCTCTTTATCTCTTCAATCTTTGTCGCCCGATCAATGTCCAACCGCTCCATTTCTGCATCGTGCGCTGATGTGTCGGAAAGTGTTTGCACGCATTTCTGGATTGAGTCCATATTATCGTGCATCTGGACCACCAGGTCCGCGACGGAAGTTTGCTCCGTCATCTTTGCTCGTTTCTTCCTAAATGTTAACTATGTGGTGGTATACAAACGTATGCGCTCCAAAATTTCAGTCTTGTAACATACAATGCTCTTCTCCTAAAATGCAGAAGAAATCGGACATGAACAAAGGAAAAAATAAGCGTCTAGCTATATCGAACGAATGAAATCAATAATAAAACTCGGAAAAGCAGCGCGACAGCAGCCCCGACCAATCCAGCGGTCACAACAAATTTGTACCAGACAAGGTCATTCCCTAGAAGCCACGAATACGCGTCCGGATTACACAAAAGAGACAGATGAAATAGTGAGGTAAGGAATGACGAAAGAATGTCGAGTCCAGCTGCCAGCAGTACTCCCAGAGCTTGGAGGATCCCAGTTGTTGCAAAGGACAGATGGCGGGACGAAGCTAAACCAGCTTAGTGAGTACACTTATCGCGCGATGAGAAGACTGGCACTTGCACGGTCTTCAAAGTGGTTGGTCCTCGTCGGTGTGTTGTGCTATGATGCATAATTGGCGTTCGTTTCAACTGGGCAACGTGGTGATTCTGATACACGGCGAAGGCTTCATTTGCCGAAGAACTCCAGACAAAGATCGCGATAGCATATTTGTGATGTGTAGCTCAACAAGTGGCATCTGATCATTGCGGACAACTCTTGCCATCAAAATCGAAGAAGTACAGAACACAGAATAATAATATCTTGCCAGCGTTGTTGAGTTGTTCTAGGAGGGTCGTCCAAGGACAACGAGGAAGACCACGTCAACCCCACATTCGCTTGGCAGATTTACCTTTTTTCACCAGTCATGAACCCTTATCTAATGAGGCTTTCCAGTCAGAATACGAAGTATTGTTCTTCAGATCATACGAAGTAGTCAGTGGCAATTCTTGATTCCAGAACGAAAACGTCCCGCATCTCCGCACTGCTGTAAACAACCCCTCACCTGCTTGCATTGAGTGCTGCTTTACTCCTGAAATCGGCCGGTTTAACTACACACAGTTATTGCTACTCACGATAAAACCCCAACAACTCATTCGAAGGCTATAAAAATCGATGCCTAGGCTAGTTAGCTTCCGGAGAGTTGGCAAGAATTTATTCCGTATTTCTGAAATTTTCTCCGTCCTTATAAAATCCAAAATAGTAGTAGGTGTCTCGTACTAAACTCGGCCGATGATTTCGTACACAAGGAGAGCCCGTCACCCCACCAAGCATAAAAAGCGCCCCAGAAACACCCCTCCAATATCACATCGCGTCATGTCCCATCATCACAGCGGCAACGTGAAAAGATCCACACAAGCTCGCTCCAATTCCCCAAGCCTTTGCAATTCATATAATAATGAAACCACACACCTCGAAGTAGAATTTATAAGTGGCTATGAAATTTGAATGCTTCGTACAAGCGAACGCAAGCGTCTACATTTCTTCGCAGTTCGTGTGGTGTTCAACATCAATTGGGGCTCGCCAGAGGATACTCGACCAAGAGGTGGAGAGAAGATGTCCCCAAGGTTGTTCAGCCTCATAAGCATTTGTTTCTCTGGGGAATACCGTCATGACTATACAGTACGGACTCCGGAGTAAAGTCCGGGCGAACAACATCGGGATCGTCCTCCAGGACTGTTGAAAGACACTTCTACGTTCTGCCCTATGGAAGGGGCCACAAGTTATTTGGAGCTTATCTCGTGGCGATTTTATTTACTTTTTGCGGCTAATTTATGACAGCTATTGCCACCAGAGTTATGATGTCATTCTGATTGTACTCGTACTTGGTATTCATATTTGGAAAAGGTCTCTGTATCTCAAGTACTTTGCTTCAAGATTTCGACCTTGAGGCTGGATATGATTTAGCGACCATATCTCCGCTCACAACAATGAAAAATACAAAGAAAGAATATAGGGAACGAAGCAAAAATCTGTCTCGACGTATTTTAATAAATAGGAATGCTTCATCTCATTCTTGAGAAGTATCTCGTATTCGTGCCATTGTAAGTTCACGTTAAATGAAGTACCGGCGCCACCTACGATCTGCGCCACAAGCTTGCATTAAAGACGCTATTCGGACTCAGGAAGGATAAATAAACTTTATCGAAAACCGACGAGGGTGAACCCATTGGTTGAACTGACGCCCTTAATACCGTCATTCTTGGCCAAGCAAGTACGAAATACGTAAAAAGAATACATCAGCCAAGAAAGGATATCAAAGATAGATGAAACTGTAGAATTGTATATGATTGTATTTGTTTTCGAGAGAATCATGAATGGATTGGAACCAGGTATACAGAACGACCGAGAAGAAAATCTGCTCCATCAAGGAGATCAATCATCACCACCTCCATCAAAATCCACCCTTCTCTTCCCCATCTCGAGCCTCATGATATCTTCAACCCTCCACCCAAACCCCAGTCTCTCCAATCCTGATAAATCAAAAGAACCCGCTAAGATAGCAGCAATTGACTATTAGCGCGACATATAAGTAAAGGGAATAAATCTATGACAAAAATAAAAATAAATAAATAAAAGTGGTCATCCTGTTCCATGAATTCCAGCCCAAAGCGATCATCTCTCATTTACGTGGTATAATTTCTCTCCCCTCCATTCTGATTTAAATTCTGGCAGTCGCTCCCTTAGTGGCACGTGCCGTTCGTCGTCTATATTGTTCTCTGAATTGAAGTCGTCCATAGGTACCATAGGCGATGGTGCTGATGAAGAGAACGGCCCAGGTACTGGTGATGACGAATCCGATAGGGAAAATTTCGAATTTCGTACCCGGAAGGACGAAAAGTGTTCCCTTCTCTGGGACGAGGGTTTGAAGTGGTGGAGCAAGTTGGCTTCGACTAGGTGCGACTGACTGAGCAAAGACACCATTGACGAAGGTTGCTTCGCTTGAGGAGAGAGTGGTGTTGACGGGTTTACCTAATGCATCGGTTGCGCTCAAAGTTACAGATGGAACGAGGATTTTTTGGAGGTTCTCACTGAAGTGAGTTAGCAAGACTTTAGAGATAGCAAAGGATTGTTAGAACTTACGTTCCCATGTTAACTTTGAGTAGTTGCTGGTTGATTTGACCGACGAAAGCATATTGTTGAGTCAAAATTGGAATCGGAGCTTGTCGCTTGTGTTTTGGCCAGGAGATAATCGATACGCCCACATCCACACGCTTCTTCAATCCTGTGCCCTTATTGACGGCAGAAACTGTCGCTCCATTGTATGCCAATCCTACATTTACGTTCTGAGCAGCGATGTTCGCGAAAGGTCCGGTAGGTGGTCCAACCATAAATAATCGCAGATCGGCCTGGAAAACACCCGTCTGGTTGTCCAACATTGGAAGGTTATAACAAACTGCCATCCCCGAGGGATTTGTCGCCTGTCCGTTCAATGCCTCCAAAGATAACGTACACGCTTTCTCAGTCGATGCGTCCCAAGCCGCCTGTGACATTCCTGGCCCGACTGGCGCCCTTCGCTCTAGTGGTTCCACGATCGAATCGACATATCTCCTCGCTGAGTCCTCTATCGAGTTACCCCTCCCTCCTAGAACATTGAAACTTCCTGCTACACCAGCTGAGACCCTACTGATCAACAGCACCGCTGCCAAAGTATTCGACCACATTTTTTCTCGTTTTAGTATATATAATTCAAAAGCTTGTCTCTTTTGTCGTCGGATCGTAATTGAAGAAAGGAGTGGCGACGACGGAGATTGGAATTATTAGCCGTCCTGCGGGCGAAAAAAAGGATCGATGAAAGAGTGTATATAAGCGGGTAGGTCCAAACCTCGCTGGTATGTGGTATCGGGCAAAAGATGGTGTGCTCAAAGCAATCAAGAGAAGAGAAAAAAAGGACCAGCCCAAAAGAATTGGGGCCTGGGGATGTTTTAATGAAAGGCACGCAACAGGAAAGTAATGAAAATTAATACATGAAGGGGTGATGAATGTAGAAAAGCAACCGGGAAGGGTGGTGTGAAGAGGGGGTAAGTAGTGGTTGAAGTGGGCCCAAACTCGACAGATGCTTGGTCACTGCAAGGGTCGATGGGAGTGGACACGAACGGTTCGAAGGGATCCAAGAATCTGATACTGGTCATGACCCACTTGGGGCAGATATCAAACCCTGCCCTAGTCCACAGTCTGCACCAAGCAACCCAGCCACTGCTTAGCTTGCTTAGCATGTCACTCTACATTGGCACTCCACAAGTTGCTCTATTCAGTCATTCTACGCCGGCTCTGTGTATTCATTGGCTATGAAAGATCCGAGAGATCATCTCTCAACTGAGCCTCCATGGAGAATCAATCGGGCCTCAAACCAGTTCTGATGGATATGGTGAAGAATAGGTGGAAAATTTCTCGCCCCTCACCATCAAGCAGATTCGGAGAAACACTCGCCTATCATTCTGGAAAATTCAGCCCATCTGATGTTGCCCAAACTCCTCGCAAACAGTTCTCCAGTCCTGAGTGACGGTCTTCTCTTCAACATACGTTTCGTTTTCCAGTACGGAGGTACCGAGTAAGTCCGTTTTGCTTCAGGCTGCTCTTCCTTCTTACCTCACTGGCCACAGCGTCGGAGAAATGCTAAAGGCCATTGTTTAGACTCGTTTCCAGGCGTGAGCAATGGTAGCATCGTCTTCTCATCGCTCGGTGCATAATGAAACGCGGTTGAGATGTCTCCTGAATTCATTTTGACGTCGAGGGAGGCTTGGACCCAAAGGGTAGATCCCGGACTTTCTGCGTGCATTTGCTGCAAGCCACGCCCGCAACTCTAACCAGTGAGTTGGCGGATCTAAGCTAGAAGACCGTGGGCCGAGCCTATCAAAACCTCGCGTTTAGATCACGTGATACCCCCTCCCGCTCAGGGGTCGGGGAGGGCCTTGAGCTGTGTTGCGGGTCGGTTTGAAAATGGACGCTTGGCGTGGTTTTGTGTGGTTTTGCGTTGATCATGAAGCGAGCTCTGTGTCAACCTCCTCGCCTGTTTTTCCGGTGTGTTTTTCAGATCTCATACAATTTCTCATCTTACGATTGGTTCATGCCTCACGAGGAGTCGACGAGTGACCGACAAACACGCCGACATCCTCCGTCATCTGATGTTGCTCTAAAATCTCACAAGATTACCGGGGCCTGAAAATGACTACCCACGATCTTCGATCTTTATGAATTGCGCGACTGAAATCTTATCGCCTTTGCTCGAGACTCACCGCACATCTCGGTTGACGTCGTACAAATACTAGTGCAATCAGACATCAATTCATGCCCTTGGCCTCTTAGTGGTCAGCGTGGCGCTTTCATTTCGCTGAAGAATCGTAGCCGCCATGTTATGGCGATGTTGGTGTGGGGTGACAGGTTGGTTCAACCCTAGATAAGGTTAAGCGCTGCAGAAGAGGCTGCGACCTAACGCGCCGCCATGTTATTACGAAGTCCCCAACCTCAGGACATGCTGTCTAATATTAGATAGTAGAGTGTACCAGATACAGTACAACTTTACAAGAACCTCAAACTCAGTCTTTTTCGAGCCACCAGCCTTACGAGAGGTTCGTTCCAACATATGGCATTCTACAGTACTTTTACCTGGCTTGAAAGGTTGAGACTCATCTTGTACATCCCGAGTCAACTCCGAAATCCAGGCGATACTGAACAACTCCTCTAAAACGAAACCTTCAAGAAGATCAACACTGTAAGCAGCTTTCCAAATCCAGTCCTAGGAGTCCTTCCCGAACTTTCTAATTCTGGAACTCGGTCTCACGGCATGATACAGGAAACTAATTTACCCATCTCCGTTGACCCTCTGATCATGAGGCTCCTGATCCTCTGAATTAGACGGTATAACCCCGCCTTTTTCCAAGCTTACATCATTCTCCATAATTTACTGTTTTCGGTAATCGACAGTGCCGCTCGCTCTTTTTTGTCTGTTCGTGTTTTGTCTTTCGCGTCTTCCCTTATTTCTTCAAACTCTCTCCTTGACCCCTCTTGGCGAATTCCAGAAAAAGATATATGATTACTAAGGAAAAGGGCAAGACATTCCTACCTTTTTTAACAGCAATCTTTCCTTTAACATTCAAAATGCAGTTTTTATCCTTATCCCGTTGTTCCAGAAATACACCGTTGCATTGCTGCCAGTCTGATCTTCTTGGATATATCCCAGTGTTGATGGTGCTTCACTCTTTTGGCATGATCGACCTTGAGATCGGCGCCTGGGACGTGGTGCTGTAATGGTTTTTTCCCTTCCCGCCCGCTAAAGTTTTAGGAAACTCTTTATGCTCCACTGCAACACACAGTGACACAACCATAATTGTGGAGCTTACACGTAGGGCGTGATTGATTACCATCCAGCTTCTGGATAGTCGTATGTTTTCTTCCTCACCTTGCAACCTCTGTGGTTTCCAATTGCGCAGTTGTCTTACTGCTTCGGCAATCTTTTCGGTTGCGGCTCTGCACGGAGGATCTCATCATGTTGACGAGTTCAAATATGGCAAAGTGTCATGATCTGTGGGTATCTCATCTATTCAATTATATCGTCTACGTCTTTACATCTCATGTCTTACCAAAAACTTCTCTTATTCGTTGTACCACTCCCTTTCCAGCTAAAGAAACCTTGACCAAGCCCCAAGTCACCACAAGACCACCCCAAACTCCAACGATGATACCGATTCCTCCAAAAACTCGAGAGTCGGCGACAAGTGTTGCAATCCCTTTCCTCACAGTCGAACTAACCAGAAACCAACTGTACACGGGTACCGAAGTACTAGAGTTGCTTTGCAATGGGTTTTTAGCATCATTCTTCAGGATCTCTGCCATTTCCCACGCAACCTTGTTCCCGATACTCTCCCAAGTTGCTTCTTCTGCCATTCTTCTCGACTCAATACTCATTCGCTCTCTCAGTCCTGGATCGCTTCCTAATTTTACTACCCTTTCAATGAACCCATTAAGGTCTCCCGGTGGGACCAGGTATCCCGATTTGCCATCGGCTACAATCTCACTTGGTCCTCCTTCGTCCCGTGCAATGACAGGGACGCCGCTTGACATAGATTCTAGTACCACAAGTCCAAATGTTTCCGTGATGGAACAATGCAGAAACACATCACCGCATGCGTATGCCCTAGCTAAGATCTCCCCCTTCAACATTCCCGTGAAATGAACCTTGCCCTCATCAAGCAATGACCCAAACATATCATAAATATCCTGGACCACCTCCGGGTTTCTATTCCCTCCTACAACCAAGAGCTTGAACGGAAATCCTCTCTCATCAAGTAGTTTCGCGACCTGGGCGAGAAACTCGAATCCCTTCTCGGGTGCCAATCGAGCAACAGATACTAAAATCAACTCCCCATTTGGCGCCAACTCCTTCCGCATATCTTCAGATCTCATCGACGGATGAAACATCTCTCCATCAACCCCCCTTCTCAAATTCACCATCTTGTCTTCCTGAACTCCAGCCTGCTCCAAATACTTTCTAACAAACAGAGATGGATAAAATACCGTTTGTACAGACGGGTGACAAAATAAATATCCCTGGACCGACCGAAAGACCCATACCGCCCAAGCATCCAAAGGAGAAGGAAACAAAATCTCGCAATATCCACTCAAGTCCGTCTGGAAATTCAACAGGACCGGAATACGGGAGCCTATTAGTCGTAACTGTAACAAGATCTGAAATCCCAGACTTGCGGGACTGGCGAGGTAAATAAGATCTGGAGACTCATTGAAGGTCCGTTCATAGAGCTTTGATATTCGGACTGGGTAGACGATTGAGAGTTCGGGGTTGTAGGGCAGTGGATAGCCTTTTACTCGAATTTCGATTTCGTCGTTGGTGTTGTTTGGTGAGGTTGGGTTTTGGGATGAAGTGCCGATTTCTGGTGCTACGACTGCGACGTTGACTCCTTGTTTTCGCAGGTATTGTACGAGGTTTAGAGTTGTTTTGCTGACGCCGTTTACTGGCCCGAAGGATTCGGTTGCTAGAAGAACCTTTCTGCCTCGAAGAATTTCTGGGAATTTAAGGTTCGCAGGGTCGTTCGTGAGGTCTGTGGATTCTCCCATTTTGAAGCTAGGGCTACTTGAAGCCAAATCCATCAGTAATATTGATAGAATGTTGAAAACCAAAAGGCTGCGCCAGCGATATTTTGAACCAACTTTCAGCTTCGATAAATAAAGAGAGTCTTTCTTTCGGCCTTTACTCGTGACTAGATTGTTCCACATTCTTTTACCCCTCCACATGACTTGGTCTAGCCACTCTACCCCACCATGCGCATGGGACAGCATTTGTATCTCACTTGAGCTCTACTCAAGTACAGGTCTCAGGTCGCATCTAAAGTCTCATTTCCCAACATTGTCTTTGATTGGGTACACTGGATACAAAACTCTTTCCATTGCACATCTCGGTTGGGCCCCACGTGGGCGAATAAATCGTCCAGGGAGGCGCATTTTCACCCCTCCTTTTTGGTAACTAGCACAACACCCCGCGGTCTGGATGACCACCAGGTCACGTTTGCAAAGTTTCAGTTATTGGATGCCACTACCTGCCTCAACGTGTTTGATTTCACTGGTCTTCGTGTCCTCGAGGCCTTTTGGGATTCGGGTAGAATAACGTTGGGATTGTTGCACCTGAAAGAATTTGAACATGTGAAATGTGGCTGCGTGGTTGAAGTTTTCCTGTATATTCAAAGATGTGCGAGTTATCCCGGAGATGCTGAATCGTGACTTCTCCATTGGAGCATAAGCCTCAGCAAGGTAAGGTAAGTTAGGGCAAGAAGGAACGAGTTGCCTCGATTCTCGAAAACAATATCGCCACTTCCTTCTTTCGCATTTCTTTTTTGTTTTCAATCTAGTCCTACATCCCGAGAACATTTCGGGAGTTGCTCGTTCTTTCAAAGTAACACTTTTGCCTTCTTCCTGGATTTTGCTTCATGTTCTGGCGGTCTCATTGCCCTTTTGTGCTTAAACCACATCGAGGTCTGAACCAACCAGACAAAGTCCCGATGCCGAAAATGGAAGAAATACATCTCCCACTTGCGGCTTGTGCTGTGGGACCAGATTTCGATTTATCGACCGCTCCTACGACTCCAGATGGAAGTTTGACATTTAGTCCTGTGTTACAAGCTTTGAGACTCGCGGATTGCCCCGATGATTCGGGATCGAAGACTAAAGATAAGCACGAAGGACATGGAACTTTGAATGTGACTTTGGAGTCGGATGTAGGTAGCGTGAAGAATGTTTGTTGTATTGGAGCTGGTTATGTTGGTATGTGGACTCTGGAGAACAGGATATTTTATGAACTTGTCGAAACAAGAGGTCGCTGATACGCCTTACTCGCAGGTGGGCCAACAGCAGCAATGATAGCTCTCCAAAACCCGCAACTGAAAGTTACAGTCGTCGATCGAGATCCAATTCGAATCAAACAGTGGAATTCCAAACACCTACCAATTCACGAACCTGGACTTGAGAACATAATACGAATAACAAGAGATGGCACAAGAGAGTTTTCCATTCCAATTTCATCCTCTCCGACAAGCCCATCACGATTTTTCTTGAAAACCACAAGCCGAGAAACCACAGTTCCAGCCCGCTCGCCCAACTTGTTCTTCTCAACTGATGTGGCAAAAAATATAAGCGAGGCAGATATTATCTTCATCTCAGTCAACACACCAACGAAGAAATGCGGAATCGGAGCTGGAAGAGCAACGGACATGACGGCGGTAGAAGCTGTTTCGACAGAAGTAGCTATGCACGCCAAAGCAGGAGCGATAATCGTGGAGAAAAGTACTGTTCCTTGCCGAACGGCGGATATGATAAGATCAATAGTTGGTTTTTCCCCTCTTGAAATCCCCTTTTCTCCTCAAAATAAAATAATGAGGAGAAAGAAATAGGAAATGAACTGACAATACATCACTACAAAAAGCTTAAAAACTATCGTCCAGATTCACATTTTGAAATCCTTTCCAACCCTGAATTTCTCTCCGAGGGAATTTCAATCCTTAATCTCCTCACACCCTCCAGAATTCTTATTGGTTCATCCCTCACACCTTCCGGCCTCCAGGCAGCCTCCAAACTCGCTTCTATCTATACTTCATGGATTCCGAAGTCCAAAATTATAACGACAAACACCTACTCTTCCGAACTCTCAAAACTTGTCGCCAACGCTTTCCTAGCACAAAGGATAAGCTCTATAAATTCTATCTCGGCACTCTGCGAGAAAACGGGTGCTTCAATATCCGAGGTGGCTCAGAGCGTCGGAACGGACGAAAGAATCGGGAATAAATTTTTGAAGGCAGGTGTCGGGTTTGGAGGAAGCTGCTTTGGGAAGGATGTTAGGAGTTTGATGTATATCTCTGAATCTTTAGGGCTGCATGAGGTTAGCGAGTATTGGGGGCAAGTTCTTGCGATCAATGATTTTCAACAGAGGAGATTTGTTCGACGTGTGGTAGGATGTTTGAATGGGAGTTTGCGAGGAAAGAAAGTTGCGGTTCTAGGTGTGGCTTTTAAGGGCGAGACTAAGGATATGAGGGAATCTCCTACTTGGGGTGTTTTAGAGATGTTGATTCAAGAGGAGGCGGGTGCTGTTATGGTTTGGGATCCGAAATGTGAGGTCCAGAGTGTGAAAGAGGAGATTGGAATGGTACTTGGGGAGAGTGTGTTGGCGGAAAAGGGAGGCAGGGCGCGGGTTGTGGGAGATGTGTATGCTGCCACGAGGGACTGTGATGCGGTGCTGGTGATGGTTGACACTCCTGAATTTCGACTTTCTCACTCGATATCTCCTGCTTCCTCAGCTCGCAAGGAATTCAAGGATCCGAGACCCTTTCAGAATGTCGAACCCACCGAGTCGGAATTACTTTCTCTTCACGACTTTTTCGTTACGACGTCCAATTCAAAATCCGAAGATGAAAGCGGCCCTTTGAATCGATTTTTACCTCCACCGGAATGCCAGGATGGTTGTACGAGCTGTGTGAAGGATGGTGGGGATATGGATACGAAAGTTGGAGAAAAGTTGGATTGGGCGAGGATCGTGTATCATCTTCGACAGCCGAAATGGATTTTTGACGGCAGAGGAGTTTTGAAGAGGGAAGAGATTGAGAGATTAGGGGGACGTTTAGAAGGGATTGGAGAGGTTGGAAGAGGAGCATGGATTTGAATATAGCGAGTGTTGTGGAAGTCTAGAATATCCTTTCTTATACATAGTGGAGATTTTGGGTTTGATAGCAGGATGAAGGCATGGTGCTAATAAGGCAGGGAGAGTGAAGTTTGATGCCTATTTTGAGCTTGAGGGAGTTAATTGGTTAGATGTTGTTAGAGAGGTGTTGGGAGTTCAGATTTAGAGATATTTTTCTCCTTTCTTATTTTCATTAGTTGTTTTATTAGAGAATTGAGATAGATTAATAAATTTTTGAACTTGTTTTGATATAAAATGGTTGATGGATGGAAAAATCCTTTGAAGGTTTTAGTTCTTTTTGTAATTCTTGTATTTTGGAACTGGATGTAATTGCAATATCTAGATGAGAAGAGTTGTAGAAGAGGACTTGTAGGTATGGTTATATGATTTGTTTAATGTAATAACATACCTAGGTAGTTCAGTTATCTCTTATAGTAGTAACTATAATAAAAGCATACAATGAAGCTACTCATTTCGTGCCACCTGTGACGTCTATTGCCGAATAGTTAGCTTCTCTTCTTTATGAGTTACTGTGTGATTATGGAAAAAGAATTACTGGTTTTCTAAAAGGGTTAAAATTTTAATAGAAGAAGAAACAACAAGGGAATATGTCTGCAAGATAACTTAGGGAAACCCAAATATAAGGATATAAGGAAGGAGTACTAGAGTGGGTTTAGATAAGAGGAGCTATATTAGGTATTAAGATTATTATTTAAAGTGTATTATTGAGGAGAAAAGTAGAGGAGTGGTATTTAGTTATAAAATTTCCAGGTTTAATGTAATATAATAGATGGAGAGGTTCGTAGAATGGATCTAAAGAATTACTGTTTTTGGTATTTTGTGGACTAGCAAGTGAAGAATGTAAACTATTAGAGGTATAATAGCAGAGGTTTATAGTAAATAAGGAAGTATAGGGGGTATATTATATTCCCCCTTGTATAGTAGCTCCTTAATTATTAATACTATAATATTATTGTTAGTTATACTATTCGAGCTCTTTTAATTATAATTATATACGTATACTTAATAATAAGCCTTAATATACGTCTAAAGAAGAGAGGTCTCGAATTAGTTCGCAAGGGTAATTTAACAAAGGCTGTAAATTACGCTATTCTTTAGGCCCGGGTAGACCTTCCTACTAATACTCCTAAGCGGGCTCGCCTGATATATAAAGTTGTTACGGAGTTGGAGGAACTAGGGGTTGATCACGTGTAGCGCAGCATGTAGTATGTGTCACGTGCGCGCTGCTGGCATCCTGTATTTAAGCTCTCGTTCCTCTGGAACTCTCTTCCTTCCTCACTTTGTTGTTCGCTCAATACAGCAGTTTCCGTTTGACTCCGTATTCATCACAGCAAGCAGTGGTTCACTCCACACGGTTACATTACAACAAAGTCACCTCTTCGCCTGGGAAGGCCTGTTATAATATCCCACTTTGTTTATTTGTTTTTGGCTGACGA